TGACAAACTAGTTTAAAAAATAAGTCCATCCTCCTTCCACGGCAATGTTCCTTTATCAAGATTCAGTGGTATGAGCCTTAAACACTCACAAAGGGGTACCTGATCTGCCCCTCAAAATTCATTCAGAGAGAGAATATGAACGAATGGGAGACCACTTGTGTAGCCTTCCAAAGGGCAGATATAGACAATCAACTCATACATATAGCTTTGGGACTCTGTGTGTGAATACTTCAGGATCCTGTCCATCGGGAACATAATTTTTCTTATTCTCCCAGCCCATGAGGAACATGCTATAGAAGAGCCATAGAGGAGCATTTTAAAGTGAGAAATTGAAAGTAGAGACACCTCTTGCTAAAACTAGTCAGCAGTACTATACGTCAAAAAATCATCAGTATGATCTTCCTCCACCAATTGACCTAAGCTAGCTTCTCTTGCCAAGTTTGTTTGTTTGTTTTGGCATGGGGGTGGGGTGGGGGTTGAGACAGGGTCTCACTATGTAGTTCAAGCTGGCCTTGAATTCACTAAGTAGGCCAGACTGGCCTTGAACTAACAGCAATCCTCCTGCCTCAGCCTCCCAAGTACTGGGATTACAGGCATGTGGCGCCATCACTCTGGCTCCTTCCAAGTTTATACCAGTCAACAACTGAGCTATCCTGAGACAATAGTCTTTTGGTGACTGATGGAGAATTGTTTTCCCCTTGATTACCCCTCAAGCAAGGAAAAAAAAGGAAAAACAACCAACTGTGTTGTACTTAATAAATTTTTATGACCCAGTCACTCTTTTAATTTGTACCAAAATCTCTGCTATAGGTATCAGTTAGATAAACTAAGTGAAAATTTAAGAAATTTATTCCAGATATGTGGCAGAACTAGGATAAGAACTATCATAAAATTTCTAAAACCCATGTTTTAAAAATAAATCCCAGAAATCGTAATTGCAATTAATTTACCACCCCTCTTCAAAGTACAGGCAAACTAGAAATGTTTTAGAGAAACAAAGTAAGATAACTAGAAAAACAATAGCTTTTTCTATTTGCTATAAATAGCTTTTGCTATTTAATAGGAAAAAAGTTAGAAACAACCTATATGCTTAACAGCAGACAATCAGATGAATGATTCATCAATATCCTGACTTTTTAGTTCCTAAGACCTACTCCTCCCTTTCTTCTAGTATCTCACATCAGATCTTGCCCTCTCATCTGAAACTTCAGCAACTCTGAAATAACAAATTCAGGCATCTTGGTCTTTATTTACAACCCTAGATCAACCTAGTTTTCCTAAGAAACTTTCATCACACCTATTCTTCAACCATGTGACAAATCTCTACCCTATGGACACTCTCTGCCTCCTCCAAAACTATCATACCCTCCCATATCTACTTCATTCTTCATCAGGTTAGTTTCCATGATCCATCATTTGGACTACACTCTTGCCAAAATCCTAAATTCCCTTGCTCCACTGTGGATTTAATTCATACTATTCTGAACATTTCCTCCTTTAAATTTTTCAAAAAGCTGTCCATATTATTGTCCTCATTTCCCTTACTTTTCACTCACTTCTTGATCCAACCCATCTGGTTTGTGTTCCCATATGAACATTTCTCTAGTCAAAGCCATGAATAATTTGAGTCCCTGAGGCCAATACATAGTTGTTTTTCTCATATGTAACTTCTTGTAATTACAGTGTTCAACACAGAACACTTTTTATCTTGGCTGCTACATTATAATTTTTAGTTTTCCACAAATTCCTTTGGCAGTTCTTCCACTTCCACCCAACTCTAACCATTTTATCAAGGTTTTGTGTTAAGCCCTATTCTTCACTTTACACATTCTCCTTCCATAATTATTTCTAATGGCTTTAATTTTGATAAATACATCAGTATCTGATTTTGTAACTCTGCTCTGGTTTTTTTTTTTGCCAAGATCTACCTACTTAATAGTAAAAGTTTGGGTTAGAAGTATAGCTCAGTGATAAGAGCACTTGTCTAGCATGCATGAGGCCATGGGTTCAATCCCCACCACCTCATATAATAACACTGAAAAGTTTCTCAGGTACCTCCAGCTCAACATGCAACAGCTAAAACTAATTTCTTCATTGTCTTCTCTCACATGTGGTTTCAGCCTGCCCTCCTTCCATAAAAGTCACCCTTCCTATCCTGAGAAGCACAAGGAAGAAATCTAGAAATCATTTTATCATCGCCCTTTCTTTATTTCCCACATCAATGAGATCTAGCTTCCATCCTTAAATCATGAAAGTTAAAGAAATTAAAGGAGACACAAAGTTAAAATTGCAAAACGAGATGGATTTAGCTCTTTTCCATCATTTCTCTGAAATGAAATATCAATGTGATTCTTTGATTGTAAGTAAAAAAAAAAAATTAGACCAGGTTAAATGAAAAACTGGAACTTGGACAGGGGATTTAGCTCAGTGGTGCCACTGCCTGCCTCACAAGCACAAGGTCCTGAGTTTGATCCCGGTACCAAAGAAAAAAAAAGAAAGAAAGAAAAGAAATGAAAAACTGGAACTTACTACTTAACATAACCAAAACATAGAATGGAAGTAGAGAGTACACCTTGGGGATAACTGGAACAAGAGCTGTGAACATTTCTGGGACCTGATTTTAGACATCAATATTAGAAATCCAAATAAATGGATAAAGCAAATAATCAGACGTATTGGGTAGATGATGCTCAAAATCTGTAAGCAATTCATTTTGAAATGCATTTAACAAAAAACAAATATGAGGTCGCACTGAAAAATATGGTGTATAAGTTTTTAAAAACTTATTAGTTAATTGCCATTAATTCCCCTCCAAATATGCCCTCTCACTTCAAACATACTTATCCCACTGTTCTTGGCATTTTCTGAAGCAGATCCAGAAGTCTTCTTTTTGAATCTCTTTAGTTCCACTGTCATGGCTGCCTCAATGCCCTCAATCAATTTGAACAATTTAGTCATGCAATGAGAGATCAAAGAGAATAAAATGGATGAAAACACATCATATTGTTTATCTAAGCTTGTCTTTCTGTTGGGTAGCACTTGGCCATACCATTCAACAGTTTTAAAAATTCACACTTTAAAGATGCTCAGGAAAGAGGGCTTCTTGAACTGCTTCAGAAAGTGGCAAAATGACAGGCGTGTAAAGTGACGGGGGAGTATTTTCAGGGAGAATGATAATTTGCCTTTTACTGTAATCTAAACATTTACTGTATATTTTGATTACCTCTTGTAAATAGATGGATGTTGCATAAATGGACAAGTGGATGGATAGTACAATGTTAAGAGGTAGAATTTTGGTGTGTGTACTGTAAATACCATTAAATTCTTTCAACTTTTCTGTATATTTGACACTTTCAGTAATAAAAACTTGGAGAAAAAAGTCAAGGCAGAACTTTATCATGTCTGTAGTGATTAGCTCTTTGGCAGGATTTTAGTCCCAGAATGAAGGTATAGTAATTAGATCTTACACTCCAGGAACAGGAGAGGATAAAAGCTATTCATTTTTCCACAATATATAACAAACTATTTCTTGAATTCTCACTGTACTAAAATCAAGGTGTTAGAAATCAAAGATAGACTTGCAGAATGATACCCCAAGTTGATTATTCTAGTGTGGGAATGCAAGAGGAATGATAGGTAAAATGCTATCAAATTCATTTAATCTGATATTTGGTTATTAGCACACTGCACATAAATTCACATGTCCTGATTTCTCACCTGGACAGCTGAATAGACAGGATCCTTTAGTGAAACAGAAAATGCACTGCACACAGAGGAAAAATCTTTGTGGTGGGTGACAAGTTTTTAACTTGTTTTCAGCATCTTAAATTTAGGCGTTTGAATTAAGGGAACATCTTAGTAGAGTTGTAAGAAGAGATTGAACATCATGATTATAAAAACAGTACTAGAAGCCAAGACCCTCATTAAGATCATCTAGAGAGAATGTTTACAGTGAGAAAATCTCTTATCTACTTACCAAATTGTCACAAATGTTATTAAATGTTAGTAAAACCTACGAATAAAAAGTGACAATATTTTCTAGGAGTTCAAAATAAAGTCTTGCCAAATACAATGACCTATTTTTAATCCCAAAGGTGTTTAACTTACTCCTCTACCGTATTTACTTGGCTGACTACTCCTTCATTGGAAAGTTCTCCTCCAGTGATATCTGTACTGCTATTGCCCCTTTCAGAACACCCCCCGAATACACACACACACACATGCACGCACCGTGGTAGGGACTGAATCCAGGACCTTGGTGCATGCTAGAGCTCTACTACAGAGCTGTATCTCCAGTCCCTTTTTCAATTTCGCATTGAGACTCAAAACTGAAATTTGTGGGCTGGGGATTTAGCTCAGTGGTTCTGTCGGCTGCCTCTTAAGCACAAGGACCCTCGTTCGATCCCCGGTACCAAAAAACAAAATTGGCATTTGCAAAACTCCTCCCTTGGCTATTAAATCCCTTCTAACCCCAATTTTTCCATTTGTTTCAGATCAAACTGACCAAAGTTTCACACTTAACACAAATTATGTCAAATTGTAAATACCTTATCCACATTATCTGTGTAAAATTTGTAACATCAAATATCAACTTCTGTTCTTGGGCTCTCAGCTTTCAGGGTGTTAACCTAGGTTGCACGCGCTCTTACAATGAGCTAACGTTTAGAATCCTTTAGAGTCGGGGACTAGCTCAAAGTAGCAGGCAAGGGCATCCGAAAACCACACTGGGGAAACATTCTGCAAGGCTTCTTAAAAGAAACAGCTCGATTTCGACTAAAACTGAAAATCTCAGCCACAAAAAAAAAGTACAGTGCAACAAACACTGCAAACCTTCCTTGCCCGTCTGCAGGCCGTTCAGAGAGTAAACGTGGGCACGACATATTTAGGAGGCAGAACCTCTGTTCGAGGTTTCATCTTTCCCGCTGTTCCTCAAATAACCACTCTAATAGTTTTCCGGCGAGCTTCGCGCCACTTCCGTCGCGCATTTTAAATGCGCCATCGCATCGGATCTCGCGGTATCATCCGGTAGGGGAGAACCTTTAACAAAGGTCTAGTGAAGTTTGTCCGACAGGTCCAAGAACCAGCATTTTACACTCCTCCACCCCCACCCCCAACTTATCCTTACTTTCTCTTTCCAAATCGCAAAATTCTCCCCTCCTCTCCCCAGCTCGCTGCCCTCTTCTTGGTTCTGAGTTCAGAACGGAACCGGAAGTGTGGTGGGCGGAGCCCGGCAGCGGAAAACCCTGCGGAGCTGGAGCCGGGACGCTTCTGTGGCTGCTGTCCCGTCCATCGCCACGGTTCGTCGGGTGTCTGGCCTGCACGGCTCCAGGCTGAAGGTCGGCCCGAAGGCGGGTGAGCGCGGGTCTCACCCGGATTGTCTGGGCGGCACTGTCCCCGGGCCCCCCGGGCGCCGCGAGGGATCATGTCTACAGCCTCCGCCGCCTCCTCCTCCTCCTCGTCTTCGGCCAGTGAGATGATGGAAGCCCCTTCCCAGGTCCTTAACTTTGAAGAAATCGATTACAAGGAGATCGAGGTGGAAGAGGTGAGCGCGGCACGGCACCGAGTTGGCTGTCCCGATCTGCCCCGAGCCTACGTCAGGTGCGGGCTCAGAAGTTGCCTTCCTGACCACTGTAGTTCGCGAGGTCCAAACGGGTAGCTCCACAGCCCCTCTGAGATAGGGTTTGGGGAGGACTCGAACTCAAGAGCCATCTTTTACCCTAACTTTGGCACTCCTAGTGAGTTTGGTTGAAATTGATACTTTAGTGCCTGAATTTGGTCCACCTCAAACAGAAGAATGACCTGGTGAAGCAGTGTGGTCTCGTTATTTGTAAATAGTAAACTCATCAAAGACTGCCTGTGCCGAAGTTTCAGTTCGCTGGACATGGTGTTCTTAAGGACCTAAGATTTTATTATGTTTGAGTTCTAGTACAGTATGTATAGACACTCAAAAAACGCTTGTTAAATAAGTAATCAAATGTGACATGTTTTCCTTAGTACTGAATGGTCCTCGGTCTCTGATACCATAGGGCAATATTGTTAATATTAAGTGTTCTGCTTGCATTCGGGCTGATTTAGTTGAATTTCATCGTTAGTAATGTAGACTGGTGTATGATGAAAAGGTGTTAAGCGTATTCTGAAAAGATGGTTACAATGACCATCAGAATTTAACACCAGACCAGAAATCGCTGTTAGAAAACCCGAGCCTGATCCTTTTAGTACTTCTTTTCAAGTCATTACAAAACATTTTTATAATTAATTTTATTGATACATTTTAGGTATACAGTATAATGACGTTTATCATTGGAAATTTGTACCTTTACATAATTTATCTTGGTTCTTATTTTTCCCCATTCCCCTCCCTCTCTTCACCCCCTCCACCCTACCTATCTATATATTATGGTTTTCAGGATCTTACAACTTAGAAAGGTTGTATGTGTATCACATATATATATTTTTTTAATTAGGAAGGTATTACTTTCCCACAGTAAGTTAAGCACTTTGTGTTACCTATACCATAATGCTGTAGGTCCTAGTGAAATATAATAGACTCTGAGTTATCTTTACTTTAAAAATCTAAAATTGCTTTGTAGTAGCAATAAGTTTAGAGAGGTAACTTTATTAACATTCAGTGAATACATTTTTCCTGTTCACATCTTGGAAGAATAATGCATTACAGAATCATATATATTTATCACATAAAGTAACTTCAGAAAACATCTTGTTCATTGAGAACATTCTCATCTGATGTGATATGTAGTGGGAAGACCAAGATTTGGGGTGTTATTGGTGGTTCATTCTATCAAATATACCACTTATTAGCACTTATTTGGATACAAGTGTTCTGATCCCTTTTAGCATGCATTTTCTTAACTATAAAATAGGGATAATAATTTTCTGTTTTATTTTATCAGTATAACAGACCCAATTAAATAGTACATGCAAAATACTCAACAGTGCCTGTATATTTTATCTAGCAAACTTAGTTCCAAAGAAGAAAGAACGGTGACCTGCTTTAAGGTCAAGTAGCTAAAAGAAGACCTGTATTTTGAAGAGGAGAAAAAATTCTGGTACCCCCCCCCCATGGGGGCTATGATAAATTCCTTTTTCAGAAGCAGATAGTTGATCCAGCCTTCATGGCTAACATTCTTTTTTAGGAATAAAAATTCAGTGAGTCAGTATACAAGAATTGCAGTTTTTAAATAAGCATTTACGTCTTCTCTGTGGTGCACTGCTATGCTTGTAGACTACAAATTGTTATATAATCATAACTTGTATTTCATGGTCTACCAGATGTTTTCACAAACTTCATATTTTTCTTACAGCCTTAGTTTTTGTGCATGACTTTCTAAAGCTTTTTACATTCATGGAAAAATGTGTTACTAAGGAAACATTTATCAATTTGATGCTCTTCCCGTAAAGCCATTTCATTTGTGGTTAGATTCTTATGCTTAAAGCCCTTCTTTCAGTTATGTATGAATCATTTGAAATGGAGAGTATAATGAAAACATTTCTAAAAAGTCATTTTTTGTTTTTAGATGGAATTTTCTGTTATTAGGCAGTCATTTAGGGGTTTTTTTTTTAATTGTTGCTCTTTTACATTTTTTAGTACCCAGTTTCGCATTAAAGATTTAGTCCCTTCTGATGTTGAAACCATTTCATAATTTTTTATTGTGTTCTTTATTTGTGCACATTAAATCAGTATTACATAACCCCTCTGTGGTGCACCAAAGGAAGGCACTGAATAACTATTTCAACTTAGATTCCACTTCTAGGTTAAATCGTGAATAGGAAAATTGGATGATGACCAAAACCAAAACTATTTTATATTAACATATGTCTTGGTCACTTTCTCGTCTCCAACCTAGGCACAGTACAGGATACCCACAACTTAAAGGAGGAAAAGTTTATTTTGGCTGACAGTTCAGTCCATGGTCACCTGGCTCAAACACAAAAATGGCATGGTGGAAGACTCTGCCACAGAGGAAAGCTGCTTATGTCATGGTAGCCAGGAAGCAGAGAGAGCAGGGAGGAGCCAGAAAGGGAGATACATCCTTATGGGTCACCCCAGGGACCTTCCATTGTCCCACCTCCTAACAGCAAGTCAGCTATAACACCCCTGGTGATCAAGTACTTTCCCAAAGCGCTGCCCCTGAGCTCTTGAGAGTTTTGGGGGTCATTCTTGATCTAAACTATAACAAGTATAGTACTTTTAAATTTTAAAAATCATATTTGATGTTTCTCAAATAACATAATTAAATCAACATCATATCAATATAATTTTAACTATGCAAAATAAAAGTTCCTTCCACAAACCAGATATTTAGTAGATAATTTTTCTGAGATATCAGGTGCTTTTAAACATTTCATTTTTAATATTGTGGCTCAATAATATGTTTGGCACTTTTAAAACTTAATTCTGCTATTAAGTTACATAAGTTGTCAGCCTTAGAAGTCCATCTGTATATTTTTTGTTTTAAGTCATTAAATTTTTACCTTCCTGGATTTGAGTGTAGATCATGTTAGAGTAAGTTGTAAACTGTGTACATTGAGGGAGAAGTGCAAGAAGTGGTAAGAACAGAGTGATGTGGTAAAAACTACTAGGCTGGACATTTAGAAAATTGAGAGGCTGTCCTGCTTCTCATAATTTATGTCTTTGAACGAGTCTTCTTTTGGAGGCCTGTGACTTCCCTTATAAAATGAGGGATTGAATAAAATCTTTTATGACTCCTCCGGTTTGAAAATGAAAACATATTTGTTGTTTCCAATATTTATGCTGTTGCCACAGTAAGCTTAGGAGTTCTTTAAGGACAGTGATCATGATGTGATCTCTTGTGGAATTTAGTTGGTGACCAACTAATTTTGGGTAGGCAGGGTAAATGGTACCCCTATTTTACAGATAATAACAAGTAGTCATAGCACTTGATATGCCAGAAGCCACAAGTAAATGGTAGAGCTGGAGATTAAATATGAGATTTCTTGTTCATGAGTCACTTAACTCTTTCCACTGCATTTACATTGTCATTTCTTTCTGAAGCACTCTATAATGAAATCTTACTCTGGGAATGAGGATACAAAATACTGAATTCCTCTATTGTAGTTGGTCCTGAGCATTTAACAAACATTGTCTGTGCATTATACTGCTAAATTTCTTTGGAAGGTATAGGAGAATCCTAGGATTTTCTCTAAAAATAGGTGACTTATTATAGGACTACAATAAACAGAACAGTTGATTACATTTTCAGAACCATGAATTTAAAACTGAATATAGTCTGTGTTGAGCACATAATTTGAAGTTGAGTTAATCATAATCCATGGAAAAGAAACAAGTTTTTTACTAGGTTTTGAATAAAGTGACCATCCTGGATTGGAAAAGTCACCAGGATGAATTGTCCATATTTATTGCTGTCCCTAGAGGGCTTTTCCCTCAGAACTTTACATGGCTAACTCTTCATCAAGTCAAGTCTCACTTAAGATATCCCTTCCTCAGAGCATCTTTCCCTCAGCAACCGAAAACTGTCATTTTTGTTATCCTTTGTGGCACTTACTAGTAAATGAAATTGTGTGTCTTCCTCAGCAAAATACTGCATAAGGTGTCCTATCCACACCCCAATGCCTAGCAAGCCCAAGTTCTCTATAATTACTTGGTGAATGAACAGATTAAATTATCACAGCATAACTATGAAAATTAAATGCTCATCTTATATTACATGTAATAAAACAAGGGTTAAGTTATGTGACTTGGCCATGTCAACGTTTACGCTAGAAGTGAGGTCTGATTCTTATTTCAGTGTTGGTTCCATTACACTTAGCAAACACTCTTGTTTAACAGAGGTAAAACATTTTGTCCAGAGCCAGGTACTGTGAGTAAGCCAATCATTGATGAATCTTTACTGAAGAACTAAAAAGACCCTATTTACAGTGATTGCTTCAGAAAAAAGAGACCCAAAATATTGAATGCAGCTCTAGTATATGAGCAAGCATATTAAACTTGTATAATCACTAGGACATTAACATATATTCATTAAAGAGATTCACAAGGCTTTGTTTGAAAGCTGAAGTAAAGTAGGAAGAGGAAATGTAGAACTTTAGTATGTATTTTCTTGTTAATTTAGCTTATAAATATATGAAATATATGAATATTAATATATGAAATATATGAATCATCACTGATATTAGAGAAAAACCTAAATTTTAGTGGTGTGCATAAACTGAGTCTGTAGATTTGTTAGTCACTATTTAATTATGGATACCCAAAATAATGACACACTAAGTCTTTCCATATGAAACTTAGTGACCATTGATTTCAGCAGAAATTTAGAATGGCTATTACAGTAAAGAGGTCGTTCCAGAGATTTTTTTTTTTTTATTCTCTATGTGTACATTAAAAGATAATCTGAGCATATTATCTAAAGGAATGGCCTATTAAGTGGGTAAAATGTTTTATGGCAGGCTTTAGAAAACTGCATAAAAAATTCAGAAAGAATAATCAAAGCTTTATTTTTCATATCAAGTCTGTCTTGTCAGCAGATGGCAGTTCTACTC